GCTTGCGTAGCAGGCACCGAAACCACTGAGCTAAATCCCCGGCCCGATAAGATTTTTTATTTCTCTTCTAATGCATACCTTTTCAGCCTAATATATGTTTGGAGCTTATAGCTACCTAATCACCCAAAAACCTGTTCTGATTCATACTTAGATTTTTTTTTTCTGTTCTTCATCATTGTCTTATTCAGAACCCCAAATCAGAGCACCTTGCTTTGAAACGTAGTTGTATTTTTGAAAGTTTAATGTGCATCACATTTTTTATAAAGGCTCTTATTTTCATTTTGGCTTTCTGAGATGTCAGTTCCTGATGTACTGTCATTGGCTTCTGACTCCTAGCACACTGATTTCATAGTCACTCTATCACCTTCCCCTGTTCTCATTTCACCTCAGCAGTGTGTATAGTAGTAATGTGTACAGAAGAATCCTTAGAGGAAGAATTTTATTGTGGAAATCTCCTTTCCTAATGTCAGTTCTGTAAATTCAGATGTTCTTGAAGCAGAAGAAAGTGAGATACATGTTCTAGTCCTAACTGATCATGAATAGGGGGTAGTTTCCTTCTATAAATGAGACAAGCAATCATGCAGCACAGTGGCTTGTAAGAAATCAGGAGGGTGCTTCCCTCAGTAATGAGATTAGTCAGGGTCAGGAGCTGTGCTTTCAGGTTGAGAAGAATTTATTTTAAAATTTTTTATTGAAAACCTTTTTTAAAGGAATTAACTTTGTAAGTATGCTGATAATTTGTGTATTAGTAAAAATAGCTTGAAATTTTAGCTAAAACTGTAGCTGCTATCGGTTGTGTAACATCAGTTTCTTTTACATTATTTCACTTGATTCCTACCATAGGTGTCTACGGTTGGAATAATTCTTGTTTAACATTGAATTAATTAAAGCAGTTAAATCCTCCCTGGGAACTCCAAGCCGGAGTTCCTCATCATTCCAGCATTGGTCCTGCCTCTTGGGGCCTAAACTACTCATTTCCTTTAATGAAACCTCATCAGGATCTGCAGTTCTTAAATGAAATAGGTAGTGATTACAAGTTTTTTTAAAAGATTAGGAGACAGTTCCTATAGTCAGTATCTTTGTGTTTAGGAGTAATTTTTATACTCCTTGAGACTAGTATTTGTTATTTGAAGTATCTTTACATAATTGGCCTATTACAATGCAACATTGGCTTTAAGAGTCTGATTTAAAATTCCTAACAGAATTTTAGACTTGTGATTTTCAGTGGGAAAATATTTTAAAATGTTACTAACCATGCAAAAATGTTTTGGAGAATTTGAAAGTCATTATACTTTTAATTTATTATGTTGATTAGCACTTGGGAAGGTTTTGCCTGTTGGGTCAAGCATTCAAAGTGCTGTTTGAAAGAATTGGATTTTGTAAATGTAAACGCTGCTAAATTTTTTAAAGGAATTTGAATTGTAAATAAGACTATTAGAAGAAATTTAGTTTGTTCAACATTAACATTGAATTCCACCAAACATTAATTAAAGGCTTACTTGGAAGTGATTATTAAAATGTAGTTGTTTTCTGAATGGAATTATTTCTAAGTTATTCTCAAAAACTTAAGGAAAGTTAAAATGCCTAATTTAAAAAAATAGTCTTATCTGTGAACAAAATGCCCTTCTGAACACTAGAAGACTCTTGCTGGTAAGTAGGTGGCTGCATGCCTCTTCCCTTGGCCATACATAGTTAACTAACTGGATCAGAGGTGATACACCTGACTCAGGTTTTCTTTAAACAGGAATTTGTAATTGGGATTTATAATGAAATTCTTCATCAGGAAAATGTGGGAGACTGAGAATGCTGTGTTTGGGTCTTGAGTAGAGAAAGCTGAGAGAAGAATGAAAGCTGCATGCAGTGAAAATAAACACAAAGATCATCCTGCCTCAACAGATCAGACTAAAGGAGACAAAGCATTTTAGTTTCTGATGACTCTTTCCCTTAATTCTGGCTATACTTCTCTCTACCCTTTAGGTAGAGGAAATTCTTTGGAATGCTCTAATAAATTGTTTTTGCTTAAGTGAATGTGAGTTTCTCCTACTTACAACCAGATGAGAGCAAACACTTAATCCTGGTATTTATTGAGAAACACCTTTGAATCCATGTAGGAACCAGCCTACAAGTTTATCCCAGACCCCAGAGTGCATGAGGATGAAAGACAAGACATAAAGATAACTTGAATGAGGGAGCCAAGGGCTCTTTGCTTCCAGGGGACAAAGAGCCCTGAGCATTTGGCTCACCTCACTTTTATTCACTTAGACATGGGAATGAACAACTAGATTAATTCATCATCTACCTCTTGTTATCTATAGCACATACTCAGGTAAACATCCAGATCTCAGCTGGAGCTTGGAAACATGCTAGCATGCCTGCACCTTGCCAAAGGAGATACAGCTTGCTGTTTTTCTCTTTTGACCTTGCAGAGGTCACTTAGGCCTCCATTATCTGGTCAGAGAATAGAGATTATATCAATGAGCAAAACACAGTAATCCCTGCTTTCTTGGAACTAATTCATTCTAGTTGAAGGAGATGTTCAGTAAACAGTATGTAGTGGGTCCGCAGTGCTAAATGATGTGAATCCAGTGGTGGGGGAAGGGGTGGATGGGTGGCAAATGTTAAGGGTGTTAGGTGGGCTGTAGTATTAAAAAGAATAGGTGAGAAGGCCTCGGACAGTTGAGCAAAGTACTTAAGAAAGCCAAGACTCTTCATCTTGGGCTGAATGCAGATGCATGCCTGGGAGTACATGTGGTGAAGTGACCAATTTAGCAAGCATGGAGCAAGGGAATTGAGTAGTGCAGTACAAAGTCTGAGAATGGGCAAGAAACTGGAAACATAGTAAATAAACATTGGGGAGGGGATTCTATAAAAGGAAGCAGAAAAACAGTAGCTGCTGAAAGGATATGGAATTGGGTTTAGTTAATGTATAATTGAAATGCTAAGAAAGAGTGAAAGTGCTATTTAATGTTTTGATATGCATACACCCATGCAATATGTCTGATACTTTTGAATGTTTCCTCCTGCCCCTTTGCAATCTTTCCATTCTCTAATCCCCCTCAGGCAATTATCGATAATGCTTTTTGTCATAGTAGTTTTGCTTGCATTTTTTTGAAATTTATTCTAATGGATCAGAAGTGGGGTGGGGATTTAGCTCAGTGGTTCCATTGCCTGCTTCGCAAGTGCAAGGTCCTGAGTTGAATCGCCGGTATCCCCCCAAAAAAACAAAGAAACAAAAAAACTAGAGAAAACTAATGGATCAGAAGTTAGGTTTTGTGAGAGCATACTTAGCATACTTGTCTTTAAGATTCATATTTTATTTGAGATTTAAATTGGAACAGACTGTATGCTACTAGGGATAATCCTGCAGAGGAAAAAACTGATGACATAGGCCAGTGGTGTCAATTCCTGGAGCACTGTCCTTGGGAGAGAGGATGGGACCAAGTGGCTGAGTGGAAAAATTAGCTTAAACAGGAGGGAGTAGTTTGGGCATGGTTCAGGAGGGAAGGCAGAAATATGCAGACACAAATGGAATTATGTGAGGGTTGTGGAAGTGCTTTACTAAGTTTATTGGCAAAAGAAAGAAAAGAGCCAACTAAAATAAGACTGAAAGAAGAAGTGGAGGCTTGGGAAATTAGAGGAGAGGACAGAAGATATGAAATACTCATAGAAAAGTCAAGTGCTCAGATTTTTGAGCCATTTGCCTGGATTTAAATCCTGGCCTGACCACTTAATAGCTATGTGATTTGGGGGTAAATTATTTTACCATTTTGTATCTCATTTAGGATGGTAGTGAGAATTGGATTAATATCTGTAAAAATACCTAGAATATTCCTGTTTTCAGTATGATGATGGGGCAAATTAATGGACCTAGAAAAGGATGTAAGTTTACCAGCAACACCACAGAGCCCATGTTGGTTAGTGTCATACAAGGCCAATCAGCGTGATGGTGTTTTTCTCTATTCAGCTATGAAGATGCAGATGTGAAATAGCCTGAGATGTATTTAACTGATGTTGAAACATCATGGGTGAATGCAAAACAATTGAGGAAGGGACAAAGGTGGCATTGGAATTCATGCAGAGGGATGATTATAATGGAATCTGTTGGCTAATTACTGAAATAAGGCCCAAAGGAATCAACCGTAATAATTGGTCCAGGGCTGGGGATTTAGCTCAGCGGTTTCGGTGCCTGCCTCACAAGCGCAAGGTCCCAAGTTCGATCCCCGGTACCAAAAAAAAAAAATAATAATAATAATAATAGCTGGTCCAATGAATTGTTAGCCTAAGTAGGGTGGAAGAGTTAGGATTTGCATGCTAGAGGTAGTGAGCTAGAGACATGAAAAGATGGTGGTGAGAGACCCGAACATTATGACACCAGTACTGTTTGAGATAGTGCCTGCCAGCCAGGAGCTAGAATGTTTTGAGAAATGATGGGGAGTGAGGTCTTATGGTGACCAACAAGGTGAGGTCTTAGATATATAGTCCGATGACATGAGATTCAACAGTGAGACTTTTCTTAGAATGAAAAGAAAATGGTTTGAAAATAGCATCAAGGAACACGTATTCTTCCTGTTAGGGGCAGCTGTACAAAGGGTGTGAGGGTGGGGACAACATTAGTGATTGAGAGGACTGTAGAGAAAGCAGCATCCTCACCTGAGAACCAAGTTTTAGTTGGGGACTTGAGAATGTTAAGAGAAGAAACTGAGGATGTACAGGACATGACTGATGACTGACCCTGAGACCTTGGGTCCTGCTGATCTCTTCCTGTTTGGGGCCTAAATCTACTTTTGTGATTTGGTCTGAAGCACTCACTTGGCAGCCACTTAATCTGCAAACCCCCCTGGTAACTGGCTTTGGTCCTTCCTGATTGTATTAAGAGTTGTGCAGA